TTTTTTTTTTTTTTTTTTTTTTTTTTTTGTAGTGTACGAGTGAAAGTGATTTATTTTTTTGTTTCTTGCCCTGTTATCGTTGCTCACAAAAAGAGGGTGGATGATCGTTTGAGCCTGAAAGAAAAAAATACTCGGTAGTGCTGAAACGCTGAATTTATTATTTTCATACTCATTAGATATGTGCATTTTAATGGAGGTGTTGCTATTCCAGACATTATGCGTGTCTGCCTTTCCTAGGGTATTCATAATAAAACCCAAAGAAACCCTAGCGAATTTACTCATACATCTAATTAAAAAAAGTAAAAGAATTCCCCTGTCAAGTAGAAAAAAACCGAACACCCAAACTCAAAAAGCTGCTGAAGTGTCGCCTTTGTGTAAAGCCATTCACAGCTTATTTTTACCTGGTGTTTCCTGATATCCGTGAAGAACTGCCGTATTTACTCTTCAGTAGTTCTTCGGGCTGACATCAGACTATCCTGGCATTACTATTTCGAAGTTAGATGTCATTGAGTCTTAAAATATCTTAGAACAATGTAGTAAGATGGTGGGATTTTAATAACTTAAAAATTAATACAATGTGCATCATGTGAGAGTTTCTTATTAAGTAATGAAAGTACCTGCTAATACATAAATAGGGATGATTCTATGTTTCTATGTTTAAATTGTTATACATATAAATATTTTTACGTCTGTATATATATAAGGAACAGTATGAAGAGGTTTTATGATGCAGACACAGCACTTAAATTACTTCATGCGGTGATTGAATTCCACATTTCAACTTTATTGTTTTTAGCTGATCATAGTTTTTCTACAAGTTCCTAATGTCTTAGAGATTTAAAAGTGTTTTTATTTAAATATTTTCTTAATAAGAATCAGAAGTCATTTTTGGAATTTCCATTAGCTATTTACTGCTTTATACCTTTAATCCTAAAGGTATGTGCAAAAGAAAGATGACTTTCCTTTTCGCTAGACTTTCATCCTGAAAGAGTAAATGTACTTAAAAGGGTGAATACGTTTATTTACATTTCTCTATTTCTTTAATTGTCTGTGTGATTTTTGGATTACAATTTTAAACATCTGGATAGAAACTAGGCAAGATATATATATACACACACACACACACACACTGAGGTCAGGACTAAATTGGTCTGTGTTGAGGAGAATCTTTGTACCTCTGTATGATTTTTCTTATAAAAAGGTCTGGTTATCTACTACCCATTTGAATTTTGAGGAGGACCCCATTTTGTAAGTGGTTACATGGGAGTGGACTGCTGTGATACACAACGTTTTATTTGTCATATCTAATTGCCAAAGCTAGATTTAATTAGTTTTGTTGAGAATGCCCTTTGAAGTTGTGAAGCGATATGTAAGTGCAAGTGTTGTCATGTGGTTTAATAAGACACTTGCCCCTTTAATGTTAAGCATCACCACAGTTCTACCCAACTGAGTTTTGATGGGTTGGACCTTAATACTTAGAGACCTTGGATCTAAATTGACCAAGAATACTATGGGAGGAAGCTGTATTTTGCCTTTCTACTTCTAAAACGAGAGTGTAGGTGAAATCATCTAGTTAAAGGGAACTCTTGCTGTTGATGTCAGTGCTGCCGTGATTTTAGAAAAAAAAACCCACCAGCCATGGACAGACAGATACAGGAGCAGTGGTCAGATCTTGTTGCCAGTTTGAAACTTGGCGTGCTAAGCTACGTAGTACTTGGTTTTTTTAGTTGAAGAGTCCTTTCTGTGCCTTTTCACTGGCTTGTCTTAAAAAGCAAACAAACCAAAGGCAGCTTCAGTAATTGTAGTTATTATTCAAAATAGTATGTAATTATTATTTTTTTTTCCTGATTTCTTAATTTGTTTTCTAGGTACTGAGTTTGTGCTGTGAAGCTTGCAAGAAAGTAATTTTTCATGTTCCTTCTGAACTAGAGGCCGACACGTTAGTTGGCAGAGGTGAGAAACTGCGAGATGTCCATCTTAGTACAACATTGCACCTTTGCTGGAGATGCTGTTAACAGTGGAGGAGACTCTTTTTTTTTTTTTTTTAATGGAATGAATGGATGACTGGACAGCCAGTTAAACAGCTGGATCAGCCTTTTTATGAAGGATACGCCCTGTGTTTGTTACGGATTTGAACGCTGGCTCCCTGCATCCATTTGACTTTTGCGTAAACAGCTATTGTCAGCTTTCAGCGTTTCTTTTGAAACAAGAATGTCAGAGTTTAATGGTTTCAAAATTTGGAGTCTGGGGCTTAGTATTTAAATAAGTGGCTTAATATTTCAGAGTGCGCCCATAACCCACAGAGTCATATGAAGAAGTCAGTAAGTCATTTGGATAATGGAAAAGAAAATAAAGAAGATAAAACCCACACAAGCAAAGCACCCAGAAGCTGCTGTTCTGTGTAACGTGGCTGTGACTTCTCAGCAGCGCTGGGGTGTTCAGGGCACCCAAGGAGAGGGGGTGCAGAGGGGTCCTGCATTGCACATTGGTTTGGGAGAGTGCTCCTGTCTGTCTGGATGGTCTCAATTTAGGGCAATGTGCAGGTGATGGAGAGGAATATGGGAGACCAGAAAGCACCCTCCTCCTTTTTTTTTCAGACCCGTCCTTGAAAGGCAGCTTTTGAAGGTGTGGCAGAAGAGCTGCTACAGGGTTCTGTGCTGCCCCAGACTGATTTTGAGGGTTCAGAGGTGCCCTGTGTGAGCCCCAGGACAACAGAGGGGCATGCTCCAAATCTGCCATCCTAAGCCACGTTCCTACAGAAGGAACAAATCAAATTGATTGGTAGTTCATCACTATGCAAGTGCTCAGGGAATTTAACTTTAAAATGAAAGTTCGTTGACCTTACTCTTACATTTTAAAATGGAAGGTCGCTGCAGCTGTTGAAGTATTTAGCATGCTCTCAGAGACTTTGGCATTTCTCTGTGTAAATAAACATGATTTATATAAAAACAAAACTTCATGTTGTTACAGTGCTATGAAAGAATTTGCATAACATTGATTATTTTTTTTTCTGAAACATATAACAAAACTTTTATAGCTTCAATGACGTTACTCAAACATTTATTGAGAAAGTGCAATGTCTTGCACTGATGCAAGGACCATACCTGTAGCTTCAATGACGTTACTCAAACATTTATTAAGAAAGTGCAATATGTTTTGCATTGATGCAAGGACCATACCTTGACAATAAAATGAGTCAGGATTTTCCTGGTTGTTGCAAGGTTTTTTACACTTCTGATTTACGCAATGTATACGAGAAGCTGTAAAGAAAAAAGATCCCACAAAGCTATGGCTAACTGAGCATAATGTTGACTCATGTAACCATCAGAAAGAAAATCTCCAATCTGATATTTTTGGAAATGCAGTGCTGTAGTATGCAGAAGTATAGGACGCCTTTAAGTGAGGCATTGCACAGATTGATAAGGGAGAGGAATCACTGCTGCAGTACTATAAAAAGTCCAGGAAATATTTAATTGAACGGTTAAAAGAAAGAATTAAGAAAAGGAAGAAATCACATCATATTTAAAATTATACTTCCATCTCTTCTTGCATTCTTAAAAGAGAAATGAAATTTAGTTTATTGACAATATCATCTACATGGGATGAAATTCTGAATCTACTCTGGGAATTTTACGATCAGTTTTCATAGTGCAAGGTCCCATCAACTATGATATCATTGAAGGAGTATTGAAAACATGACACATCTTGTTCTCTGCAAGGATCATTATTTGGGAGTTTAGGTCTGTGGCCTTTAGGGTGCCAAATCGTTCTTGCTTAGTGCTGTGGTCCTACTGCAGTTCATTATGATTATCCTGATTTTGCCTGTTCTGCAGCTGTAGTGCTGAATTACTCCCTAGTGAACCAAGTTTATTTAAGTGCATTAAAGTTTATTTTAGCCACAAGTGATAGCAAATGCAGTAAAAAATACCTGAGAAGTATGTGGAACTTACATAGTACGTCCTATAAGCTGCATGGGATTCTATCATGTACATAGTAAAAAATTGCCAATCATTTGTTCTAGAGTTAGTCTTTATCTCTCCCATCTGTCTGCCTCATAATTTAAGGGCCTTTGTCCTCCCAAGACTATTAAATCACATAGTACCAGTCAGTGCTTTCCTCCTGAGGGCAAAACTTCCAAGATGTATTATCTCCATTGGGCATTTGCATCAATTAATCATCTTCACTGATTTTGTGGGACATGGAGCACAAGGCAAATCTAATAGCTACTGATCCAATAATAAGCGTGTCTACAATGTTTTTTGCATTTAAATGTATTAGTTCATCTCTGATGATTCAATAAGTTTGCCAGTGTAATAGTGTCTTGTTGAAAGACATCTGTGAAGCATCTGTGTCACTTAGGAACAAAAGAGTGGAAATTTGTGTACACTTGGTCAAATCTGAGAGCATAAATGGGTTCTAGAATCTGTATTTGTGACGCTTAAATACTGAATGACCAAATTCTTGGAGACTCCAACATGTCATTAAATACAATGTTTACTTAGGAAAATTTTTTTGTTTATTTGTTTTGTGATGGAGATTATTGTTTTGCTGTTTGAGTTATTTTCTGAATATTTTTGTATTACAGTTGATTTGAAAGAATGCCTTCCGTCTGCAGACTTTATCAGTTCCAGTGATGGGAACTTTAAAATTCTAGAGGATGGTTCTGTGTATACAACATCTCCCCTTTCTTTGTCTGCTGAGAAAAAGACTTTTAATGTATTACTTAAAGACACTCAAGAGCATGTACAAAAGAAAATACATGTTAGCTTGGTGGAAGAAGAAAAAAAGGTGAGCTTCTAATTTCAAGATACCTTACTTGAAATGCTGTTTCACAGAGTACAGCTTCATTCTGGGTAACAGTAGTTGAATTTTGGAATTCAGATAATCAGGCAAAGCACTCGGGTGCAGAGTGTATTTTTATTTAGCAGTTGTTGATTACTGTCTGTTGCTTAAGTCAGCAGACTTCCTTTCTGAAATGGGAGATGCTAGCAAGGAGCTTGATCAGGAATACTGAGAATCTTAAAAGCCCTGTTTGAGAAATTAAAGCAAGTTTTATTTGTGCAAAGTATTCTGACGAATTAAAAAACTCTTGGAATACTATCAGAGGTATAATCAGAAATTAAGACCAGGAAAAAACAAATAGCCAGTGGGAAAACTGGGACAGAGGGAAAAAAGATGGAAATGCAGGACAGTAGTTAAGCGACAATATGCACAGTTAAGAATATATGGATATATTCTTACCTGTCTTTTATCTTCCTGACCCAGACACAGAAGACCAGGCAGGCTAGAGATACAGTTCTCAAGAGAACCAAAAGAAGGTGGGGCCCTATTCCATCCGTCATGATAGAGAACTCACTGGGACCTTTCCCACTACAAATACAGCAGGTATATTTTATACGAATACTAATTTTATGACACAAGCTAGTTTTGTATGTGACTTTTATGATAAAAGAAGAACAAAAGTGATCTCTCTTGTATTCCCTACTGATGCCGTTCCTGCTGTTATTCCTCTGTCATGTTCTGTCCTGTTCACTGTATATCTAGTGATCTTGTAGCTGACATAACTTGTGATCGTAGTTGTTGGGATGTGCTGGAAACACGCAAAAGCTGTAAGAAGGAGAGAGGCTTGCTATCAGAAGAGATCTCTTTGGCCTGGGAATTAGTGAAGTGTGTAATTAAAAAGAAACAACAAACAAATCCCCCTAAAACATTGCCTAGAAAAAGATTTTGGAGACACAAAGTGGGGGAAATCTGACCTGCATGTCTATATCCTTTCTGGAGTTCGGGGTGTAGACCTGTAGCACTGAAGACTGCGTATGGCCTATATTATTAGGAAAAGTAGTTGCTGTAAGAAAACAAGTAGGCGTGAAAGAGAAATGCAAGAACTAAAGTTATCGTAGATCCATCTGGCCTGCGCTAGATTACAGAGTGGCTGGTAGCAGATGTGTAGAGACAAGTGTAATAACAGAGTCTGTGCAGAGCAATCATTCTTCTACTAATCTTACCTTCATAACTTCTGGCATTCAGTAGGTAAGGAAAGTTTGGGGAGGAGAGTGTTTATAAATAGATAACTGCTAATGTTACCTCCTTGGTGCTTGTAGTGAGATGCAGAGAGGCTATCTGAATTGGCATATCTCTGGACTGTACTCTAGGTAGGTCTCCTTTCTTTCCTTCCTTCTTTCCTTGCTTTGCTTTTTCTTCCCTAGTTGCAAACCACCTTCTCAATGAGTGCATTAAACCAAAATCTCTTGAACAGGGACAGAAGTAATAAGCCCTCTGTATTTCAATGTGCCTTGTATGTGCAGTATTCTAGAGAGATTAGATTTCAAATAATTTTTGTATGCACACTCTAAATTTCTTTAATTGTTCAATATTTCTGTCTCTCAAATATTTCTGAGTTTGAGTTAACTATCCTTTCTCATGTACACACAATATAAAGGAAAGCAGTTACATGGCAAGCTATTCTCCTATTCTGTGAATTTTAAGCTGCTAAAGAAGTAGAAGTTAAACAAGTATTGGTTATGTATTTTTCTGAGGCGTTCCTGTTGGTGCTAAATATGATAATGAAAAGGGCTAAAATGTATTAGAATGATGCTGCTGTTTTTACTTGGGCTAAAAAACATGTTCTTTATAGGTCCAGTCAGACACAGCTCAGAACTACACCATTTATTATTCTGCAAGTGGACCGGGAATTGATCAAGATCCAAAGGGTTTGTTTTACATAGAAAGAGAAACTGGAAATATCTTTGCTACTCGTGCAGTAGACCGTGAACAATATCCAAGCTTTCAGGTACAGGCCTAAATTATGTAAATATAAGTAAATCTTTTTTTTTTTTTTCTGTCATGCATATATTTGAAAGCTGGGCTACAGGGGAAAATAGGAGCACATAAGATCTGGAATCAGCTATCTGTTCTGGATAATATCCTTGGTGTCGTAGAGATGAAACCAGTGACAAATAAAGAAATAGTCGATCATCTGGATCTTGAGAGTAGTTTTACTTTTCACTGCTTAGACTCTAATTACAACATAAATGTAGTGAGCTATTGGATTTGCATCATTTTCGGGAAGAGTTTGAACTTATCCCAAAGGTTTTCAGGGAAGGTTGAAAAGGTCTGCATAGAAACAAAATGATGAGAAACTCCAGGCGACTGTGATTTTTTGAGACTCTTTCTCAAGCTGTTCAGTTTTGGTATTTTGTTAATAAGGTACACTGCTCTCTCTAGTGGCTGAGAAGTGTAAAAAGGCAGTTAGTAGAAACAAACAGCTTCTAAATAGTTAGGTAACTTGCAGTACCTATTACTGCATTTTATTAGATTATATTGTAACAGAAAAATAGCTTTGCTGTTCTTGATTTTTTTCAAAATAGCAATATTTAGATTATATAAATTTTTGGTAAGGCTGAGATTGTCTCTTAGGCACTTGGAAAAAAAAGTTTTCAAGAAGCTTGGAAGAAGTGTTTGACAGTGTTGGGGGCTGGGAGGGAAGGGAAGAAAGTGATTCAAATATTTGTAGTGCAAGGAATGGAAAGGGGAAAGATTGGAAAGATTTAAAGGTTTTCTTTCGTTGTAAGGTACCAGTCACTTCCCCTTCCATGTGGCTAAAGAGCCTGGTCTTGAGAAGGGTGTGCTTGGCATGCTGTGTCATTTTATTGATGCCTCCATGGAACTGAAAGTGTAACAATACTTCATGTTGCGTAAGCATAAAGCAAATTACTGAATTTATGTCTTACAGATCATTTGCTTTGCAACCACTCCAGATGGTTATTCACCAGAGGTACCACTTGTGCATACAATCAGGATAGAGGATGATAATGATAACGCTCCGTATTTTACACAGGACCTTTTTGAGTTTTCTGTCCTTGAAAATTCCAAACCTGGTAAGAATTGTTTTAAATCAGTGAATACAGTTACCACTATTCAACTCACTTATGTACCAGTATGACTAGGTCTAGTTCTGCCTTTTAATCAATTCACTGGGGTTTATTAAAGAGTATTTCTTTACAGCAATGGCTGAATTTGAAAAGAGCAGCTCAAGATTTCTTAATTATTAGAAATTCCAAAATGCTATCTCAATCATATTGAAAAGCATTGCTTAAAAAATGAGTTTTTGCAAACAGAGATAATTCAGTGCTCCTAAAGTGGTATAAGAACTTCATAACATTATTATTTTCATTTTACCCAAAAATCACCTGTTTCCATAAAATTTTTTAATTGACAGAACAGCAATTTTTAACAAATTAATTCCCTAAACAACTAAACTGGTGGTGTTCTATGGTGTAAAATGCCTTTAATTAAGCTTACAGTGTTTGTCCAAGCAGATGAACTTTTCGAGGGGGTTGGTTGAAGAAAATCTTGCTTCTGCCCATACCTGTAAAAGGCAGGGACTTGCCCATTACTGACTTCATGTGTCTTTGTAACAGAGGACAAAAGCAGGGAGAAAGCAAAAGCAGAGAATAAGGAATGCAAAAGCCATGGTTTGCCATTCCTCACTCATCTCTTAGACTAGGGGTATAGAGTGGGGAAAATCTTAATTTACTTCACAAAAAAGGAAGCAAAGTGTCTTTCCATTCACCCCAAAACACCAGTTGTATTTCATTCCCTGAGCTGCTCTGCTCCTTACTGGGTGAGTTACCAGCTTCAAGTGAAGTTTGAAAACCACTCGGGCTATAGGGATGAAGTCCAGCAGCTCTCCCCAACGGGCAGTACTACAATTTGAACTATGTCAGAAAGCACCAAACCTCCCTGTCCAACTCCTCTTGAGCTGTGTTTCAGATGCTCAATTAGAAGTCACTGTCAAAAGCACTGAAATCGGAACTCTTAGTATTTCTTTCGATTATTCTGTCTAACAGCTGCAATAATTACAACTTTGTCTCAGAAGCAAAAAATAACCAGAAGATTAAAATAGGCAATTCCACACTATTACTGCATTTTTACTACTATTTATGATGTTTTTAGTATTATTTTCATGTAGAGCTAAAGAGTTAGTTTCATGTATCTAAAATAGAAATACCTGTTCAAATAATTTTTTCTTATTTACAGATTTTTCTGGAACTAAAAATTTCTGTATTGTGTTCACAGGTGTGGTTGTTGGAAGAGTGACTGCAGAGGACAGAGATGAGCCTGAGACTCTGCATACTTGGTTGAAGTACCGCATTGTGTCACAAACTCCACCAGTAACCCCAGCATTTTCTTTACACGGTGACACGGGTGTCATTGCTGTATTGTTGCCACAGCTGGACAGAGAGGTGATCTTTCCTGAAGCATCTTTAGCTGTCATCTAGTGCACACAAATAGCTTCTTAACTCTGAATTGGTGTTACAGGAATCACCAGATAAACCATTTCTGTTATCCTTTTTCTTTTTTTTTGATTCCCTCTCTAAGGAGCTGCCGAAGCTTTCTAGAGACCTGTAATTAGTTAAAGAGTTTCTGCATAGATCTACTTTATTCTAGTTAATCTTGGGAGGGGACCTGCCACTGCTCTCGTGTTCAACCTATGGATTGAAATTCCTGTGGATTTTTATTCTTTCTCTGTTCATGAATCCCATCAGCCACTGTTTCATGCTAATCAAGCTCCATTTGAGGTCCTTCTTTCTTCTTTACAGGGAAGATGAACCAGATTTTCTGGAAGCAGTTAGTCGTCCTATATTAAACAGAAATAACTCCCAATATCAGAAATCTAAACAGTAATATAACATTTCCTAAAGTTAAAGTGCAAACCATTTATTCTTATCAGTTAGCTTTCAAGTAAAGAAGAAACAGGAAGTTTTAGATTTTATTTCATTTGGATTTGGGTTGGTTGTTTTTTTTCTGATAAAATATCACGTGAGAGATTGTTTACACTAGAAAAGCTGACAGGCATGTATATTTTGAAATATTTCTAGCATAAGACAGTCATTTTAGAAAAAGCCACTGCTACAGGCACATCTTTTTTGAGGATAAAAAGAGGCATATTCTGGCATACTGCTGTCACTTCATAGCTGAAAATCCACATTAGCAGCATGTTGCAAAATTGTGTGCTTGCAGATACACTGAGCAACTTTTTAGCAAGAGAAAAATGCAGTCACTGTGAGCATTACTGTGACTACTAAGGAAATAATCACAGTAACTACTGAGGGAAGGAAAGCTTGAAAAATGGGTCCACTCTCTGTCTTTTAAAGATAAACTTATGAAGTGGAACAGGATATTTCTTTCCTCCACCTGAGAAACTTAATGCTACTTCCAGGTATTCAGAACTGGAGTTACTGTCTTGATTTACAGATTCTCTTGTTTTGTGCCCAGTGTCTGTCCCCCATCGTCCCCCTTTTCCTCCTTGGTTCCCCTTCCCTGGTTTGTTCAGCTATTAATAAGACTAAAGAAAGCCTTCTGCTGTTGTGACTCAAGTCAGGGATTTAACTGGACTGTTTATCAGTGATCCCCTTGGAACTGATAAGGGCGCTGACTCCTTCCAATGGCAGGCATTGCCTTGTCACGTATAGCCCAAACAAAGGCTGTGATTGCACCACACCCTTTGTGGTCATCCTCGCTGAAATAAGAGACATGCTCTGAAACACTTTACCAGCTAGAAACCTAAGGGAATACTCTGCCTCGCCGAAGGGGAGAACTAGATACCAGATTAAAGCGCATCATTTGCATCTTCCAAAACTTCAAGTATTGGAAAATAAAGCTGACATTGTGAGAAGCTTTATTTGATACAGGATACAGCATACACACTACTAACAGATGCTGAACTCATGCCGCTTAGCCACTGAGAAATATTTCACTTGTTTTTCCCTTTGTAACTATGGGGAAAAAGCCCCAAAGCTAATAGACTCATTTTGTAGAGGAACACTGAGTTTGGAGCAGAGTTGGGGAACGGGAATAAAATACATAGTTCTACTCTCGTGTGTAACTACGTGATTGAAAAAATGAGTATGTCAAACTTCTGTATGCTTTCCTTCCTCTTTTCAGCTGGTATCCACTTACACTTTGTTAGTTGAAGTGAGAGATATGGCCGGTCAGCCTTTTGGTTTGTGCACTACGGGAACAGTTGTCATCAGAATTGAAGACACAAATGACAACGCACCATCCTTTAAACAGACACACGTAAGTCTTCATCAATGAAATGTCAGTAAAAAGGTAAAAAAAAAAAAAAAAAAAATCCTCTTTCTAATTTCCTGATGGGCAGCCCCTTAAATATGAAACCCAATGCCCTGAGAGAGTTAATGCCAATATAGACGTTTGAGAATGTTCTGTTGGTTGTTGTGCTGTTTGGTAATTAGACCTATTGGTATGTTAGTTGTTTTGAGTCATTTGCCTTATGCCCATTGGGAGAAAGCTGATGTGACTCATTCATTCACTTCTGCTGCGTATTTCACCCTTCTTGGCTTTTCTTAAAGTTTTTGTGGTTTGTTTATATATATTTTTTTAATTTATGCCAATGCCTTTTCTAATGCTCAGCTTGATCCTGTTGTATGCAAATTAGTGTCTATAGCTGACGTAACAGAGGGGAACTGTGCTAATTTACCTTTCCTGGAAGGAGAATTCCAGACTTCTTTATGTCAATGATAGTTGGAGTGTACGAAGGACCTGAGATTTCAGTTGTGCTGGCAGGAAATGTTTACTGTTTCACTTAGAGTGTAAGGGAGGAGTGGGGGAAATATGCCAATGTATGGAAACAAAATAAATCATTACAGCAGCTTGGTAAATTGACCCCTTGGATTTAAGTAGTCTTATTTAAATACAGTGTTCTTCAGTCCTCCATCGTGGAACAGTAGTCTCTGATTTAAATTGATTTTTTTTTTTTTTTTTTTTTTTTTTTTGGATACTCCAAGTATGAAACACGAGTGGAGGAAAACAGAGTGAATGTAGAAATACTGAGAGTCTCTGTTGTTGATCTTGATGAACCTGGTTCACCTGGCTCAGGAGCAGTGTATGAAATTATACGAGGAAACGATGATCGGTCCTTTGAAATTACAACAGATAAAAACACAAATGAAGGAATATTGTGTGTTGTCAAGGTAAGTAAAAATGGAACTACTGGAGGAAAATTTGGGTGTCTTCAGGCTTTGCTTTTAAAACCAATAATCTATAACTCATTTTTATTCAAAGAATATCTGTATCAGTCAAATCATGCTTTCTTCACAATCTGAAATCTCTTCTAGAGCTGATTGCATAATGCATGGCAAGTGAAGCTCATGTGGGGTCCATAACATACAAAACTCATCTTCCAGAGTGCTCCTCAGTTTTATGTGTGCAGAATTCAAGGAATTCCCTTTGGTTTGTCTTTTCACCATGACCTTGGTGCTTTTGCCTGATTCCAGAGATGGAGTTGTTTAGACTTAGGGATGTAACTGAAGGTTACATCATGGCTGGGTTTTTAACACAAATGGGAGTGTGGCAAAGGAGGAGAGGAATGAGCACCTCCTCTAGTTTTGTTCTGTCTGGGAATTGATTAAATTTACCAACTCTGCATAAAACTCTTAAGGTTTTGTTTTGCAGGATAGCCAGTACAGGTTTGCTTTTCTAGGGTGTGAGGGAGTCCACCCATGTATAAGACTATGTGTTAGTTTAGTTGCTTGTTATACCCAGTACTTTACACATGTGAAGTAAAAGGAGCACTGTACCTGTCCATTTGCCTCTTCATGCTTCTTTTTCACTATCTGGTAAAACTGCAATAACAGGTAACTTATAAGGAGCAGAGAAGATTGATATTAAAATTTGAAGATGTAAATCATAAGGGTAGAGATGCCAATTAAAATTGTTGCTGGTAATCTTTAGACCTTTTTCTAAAGCTATGTCCCTGGTATATGAACCCAGTTGAAATTTCTTATATTTAGTGTAATGCTGTAGTAGTCTAAAGAATATTGGGACTTTAGGCTATAAATAGCCCTATTAAAGGCATACGTTGCCCTTGCACAAAGTGTCTGAAATGTAAATGGTAAATACGTATTGATTAAACCCACAAGTTCAGATGTATTTGCAATGTGTGAAGTCTCACTGGGAAATAAATGTAGGTGGTAGCAAGAAGCATGATCGACTTGTGGTGGAACAGAAATATACATCACCTAAAATAATGGCCAACTAGATACATGAGGAGGAAATCTCCCTGACATTTAATTCCTATGTCAGTGCTATTAGTAATTAACTATCAGAGTATTAATCTAAAATTTTACAGTGGTGCTGCTTACCTTATTAGGGGTAGTTCCTCAGGATCTTTTCTTTGACTAACTTAGAACTAAACATTTTTATTTTTTTAAAAATCATGTCCCTTTACTGTGTCTCAAGCTGGATGTTCCAGAAGGAGAGCTGACTTCTTTTGTAAAGAAATGTGGTACGGTTTTATCTATTTAATAATTGGGCAGCGAAAACAATAGCAAGTTTTGTGTTGGTTTGAAAGAAAAGAATCAATACTGCTCCTTCGTTACAGGGACTGGACTACGAGGCCGCCAAGCAAAGGATCCTTGTGATTGCAGTCAACAACGAGGCACCCTACATGCTGGCGCCACATTCCCAACAACTTTCCCAGAGCACCAGCTCTGTTACAGTACACGTCCTGGATATGGATGAGGGGCCGGTGTTTAAACCCTGTCACTTACGCATCGACGTTAAAGAATGCGAGGATATTGGGACGAGTATCGGGAGATACGTTGCAGAAGATCCAGAAACTGGAAATAGTGAAGGCATATGGTATGAAACGGTGTTATCTACTAGTTTATTTGGAGTACAGCATGGGCAGGGTAGAGGAAGAGGGAAAGAGTTGTTGATGCTCTGTATATGTGTGTATGTGCACACACCTGAGTGTATGTATATCTATTATGTGTATCTATATATGCATGTACATGTGTATACATATGCATATGTATGTATATTTAAGATTTTTAACTAAACAAACAACTTATTCTTGACAGCTACCGGATACCACCTGGCCAGTGTAATTGGATCAGCATAGATGAAAAATCAGGTGAAGTCAGAACTATTAAAGTTTTGGACCGAGATGTAGGAGAAATGAGACGAGGTCAATGCAATATCACAGTCCTCGCAATAGACAGAAGTGAGTACTCAGTGTTGTCAGTATTCTTTGTGGTCATTTGTTTATGTGCAAATTTAGTGTGGGGACAGTTATTCTGGTTCAGACCAGAGGCCCTCCTAGTCCATTGTCTTGTCTTTGGGATAGCTGTATCGAATGCTAAGGGAATATTATGCAGCAGAAAAAGGGGCAAATTCTCAATGTTTTCAGACGTTATCTGCTCCCATTTAAAATCCTTTGTTAAATTTAAATTGAGATATTTTCCTGTGGATCGTATTCCTTTCATTTCCAGACTATTTGTTTTTTAAGTGATAGCACCTGGCAGCTGTGAAGTTGAGAGATGTAGAACTTATTGAAAAAAAGTTGTTGATCTTGCAACTCTTACTGTTTCTTCCTCTGTTTGACTTGGTTGCTTGCTTTCGGAAACTCTTAATTTAAAAGGACCTCTAAGAGCAGCTGTATTCATTGCTGTATGTTACTGTGCTCTTACTCTTGTTCTCAGTTATCTAGGTTTTGTAAGAGTGCACAACACATAGTGTGAACAGGTGACGAGCTCTTACAAATTACTGTGATTGTAGAGGAAGGGTTGTAACTCAGATTCTGATTCTACACCAGGTTTTGGTTCTGATTTAATGTGAGTGATCATCTGTTCTTTCTGATTAATTTAGTATATGCATTTATTGCAGGATAAAAACATAGTTCTGCCTTAACATCATTTACGCAAGAAGATTAAATCCACCTTTCACTTCCCAAATGTTAAGTGTAGCAATTGGATTATCAAATAAAAATGTTAGGTCACACTTTTAATTCCAAAATATGTGTCTTCCATTAAAAAAGAAAAAGGGACTGCCTTTATAAATCCAATGGCAGGATTTAGTTTGAATCCTTATGTGCTTAAACATCAGTGGGAGTAAAGAGCAGACCTTTGGAAGTTGCTTTACAGCTAAAAATTCTAACACTGTTGAAAGCTTGCATATTGAAATTAAATGTAAATAATATGAATCTAAATTGTCTAGAACTTCTGTTGCAGGTAAAGTAAACATGACATATGCATCTGCAATCATGTATGTCTAGAGAAAGTTTTAATAGGTAGATGATGTAATTTCACTGGAATAGAAAAGCATTCCTGTACTGGAAAAAATGTAATTAGGAGGGAGAGCTCATTCACTTCTTGCTTGTAGACTTTGGTGATGTAGTATGAGTCACTGCTGAATGGTGTCTCAGAGGAAAGAGGACAGAAAAAAGCCTGCTCTTTCTGAAAGTGTTACTGTTCCCAGGGGAAGTGAGGGTAAAGAAAGTGTAATTTATTTTCTCCTTCCAGAAATAAAAAGGCTAGAGACCTTCACTTTCTGCTGTTGACTCTCAGTTTAGCATAGCATCCTTTACCCCTGATTTATGGGCTCTTTCTCCTCTCATCCTCCTGTTAGGACGGTATCTGTCCCCACACAGATACACGTGCTCAACAGAATACAGTCTACACATGCGGAATACGGAGCTTTGAGAGCTGTTGATCTGCTCTACAACTGGCCAAGCAAAGAGAAGCAGCCAAGAGAGAGCTGTGAGAAGTTCCTCTCTCCTTTTTTGCTAAATTAGCAGCTGCTTTACACCTTAATTCTAAACATGGATACTAAATTTGATATTTCATTGTGAAAGGTTGGACTAGAAATAAATAAGTGAATGTTTGAAGTGCTAAAAGTAGTTATTTTTATCTCACAGATGGCAAAACCGGCACTGGAACGATTCAGGTTGTCATCCAGCCTGGGAACAAGAATTTCCCACGAATCGCTAAAACTGACTATATAATGTGCAGAGACAGAAAACCGATTTGCCTGACTGCACAGGATGATGATGAGTCTCCTTACAGCATACCCTTCGCTTTTCACATAAATGACCGTAGCTTGGCTTCCTCTTGGAAGATAACTCGACACAACGGTATGTTAAGACCTCTTTCTCCTCGCTTAGCTATAGGTTGCCAGAGGAGGCTTTGCTACCTCTGCTTTGGGTGGACTGTAAGACTAGATTGGCTGAATGTATGTTGGGAATTGGTGTAGTCGGTGGGGCTAACAAGGTAACCTTGAGGATCTCAGAGGTTCCTCAGTTTCATTCGAGGTACAGGAGATGCCAGAAATAATAGGGAGCAGCTAGAGTATTCTTTACCTTTACTCCAAAGAAAAATAGAACTTTTCTTAGACTCCTATTATGGTGGATAACTGGAAAACTGAAAAGTTACCTAAAATTGATTAGAGGCTGACTGAAAAAATTCTGACAGTTTTTTTTTTTTCCTTAGTACCTCTGTCAGTCAACGCATTTTTGGTAAAGCTGACTGGGCAAAAGAAAACTTTACTATCTCCCTTATTATATTTATGTTAATTTTTATAAATTTGATAGAAGTAGATAAACAATTTATTACCAAAGGAATTACTGTTTCCTAAAATTTGCTAATATAAAAATGTACAGCCTATGGTGGTTTTCTGGTGGGTGCCAGATGCTGGTGACCAGAGCAGGACACACATTTGCTAGTATGTTGTAGCGAACTAGCCTGAAAAGGGTATGATTCTGAAGTATTCTGTGAAACGTTCACTAATGAAAGGCAAAAGACAGTAAAGTCTGAGACCAAAAGCATCTGAGGGTTTCAAGGTTTATATTAGGCAAATTGATAAAACATTTTAGATGGCACATGTACTTTCATATACCTTATCATAAAACAGCCATTATGTACTTCAGTGTCTATTTTGTTCATATTTTTTACAAATAATTTATTTTGCCCTTTGAAATGTGGTCACCAATCATTGCCTCTAAGCAGGGCAGCAGACTAAATGGATTTTACTTCCCACTGGATATAGCTGTTGCAACTGAATATAGCAATAGAATTAAAGAGTGGAAAACATATAAATTAAGTTTACAATTAATTTCAATCAAACTACCAGAAGTCTTTTTAATAAATGTCAGTTCAGTTGATGGTCTTTCCTAGTAAGTCGAAATAGTGTCATTACTATAATGAACTGAATCAACTTCACAGTTTCAAATCATATGTTGTCAGAAGACTGTATAAGGCTTGCTTTTTCAATTCTAACATTTAAAAGGTGCTGAAAAGATAAATCCTTCCAAGAAGTAGTTTTGTGTCAACACATTTACACTGGCTTTACACTAGCTAATGTGGATCTGGTAGCAGTGTAGCTATAACAGAAGGGAAGATTGTGATTATGGTCGTATTTGTGACAACAGGGTTTCAGGTATTGTTAACACTAGATCTGGTTTTATCTTTTTTTTTTTACAGATAATTCTGTGTATCTTTCACCGAAGGGTGATATTCCATTTGGAATATACAGGATTCCTGTAAGTGTGACTGATAATGGAGGAAAGGTAGGAGAGCACTACATAAGAGTTAACTACTGTGATTGCGTTACTCCAAGTGAATGCAATGGTGGACCCCGTGTCTTTGCTGGTGGAAATGTTACTCTTGGCCTATGGGCCATCCTTGCAATGATCTTAGGATCGCTGTTATTGCTGCGTAAGTACACTTGATTTTTAACATAAAGTGCAAAATAGTTAGTTAATTTTAAAATTAGCTGAGAGAACCTGACTCAAACTTGAATCAGACATTTCTTTTTTTTATTTAGGTGTTTGTATAGCCCTCATCACTGACTTAAAATACCTGTTCTATTTGTAGCAGTATCACGGGCTTCTTACTCTCATCTTGTCCTATCGTTAATTTGTGTGTGTTTCTGTTTATTCTTTTTTCATTTTACATAAGGTGGTCTGTGTGATCATGTTAGCAAGGGCAAAAAAATGCATTCAGCACTTGAACTGCAAGAAGATTTGTAGTGCTTTCAGGGATTTGTAGTGCTTATCGGATCTTGTCTTTAGGCAACTATACTGTAGTTTGTTTGTGAGTTTAGTGCTGGTTTGGGGATGCACCTTTCTGTTTGTAGAAATGCTGAAGTCAGTGTCCTACATCTTTTTATGACCTTTCTTGTGTCATGGATTAAAACATGAGGTGTCTTAGACATTGGATTTCACAAGGAATTTTACAAGAGCCAGTGCAGTGTTGAAGGATGGGCTGGATACTTCCACAACGGACCGAACCATTGAATGCTTGTTGTGTTGCTGGAGTTGCCCAATGACTAAACTATTCTAAGCAGGGTGATAGTGCAGGTAACTGGTGAGGTGGTGACAGTGATACAGAATAGCAAAGCCAGGTCATTTTTTTTACCAGCATCATAGTCTGACTAATAACATCTTTAAAAATCACCAGAGGATATGCTACAGTAGCAAATACTTCAGAGTTGTCTTTTTTTTTTTTTTTTTACTTCTGACAAAATTTTAAAAACATTTATGTAGCAAAGAATCCTTGTCCCAGTAAGGAAATGAGCAGCTGGCTGCATTGTGAAGCAGCTTTTCCTTGGTCCATTAACAACTCAGATATGTTTCTTCCATGATGTAGATGCATTCACACTATAACTTTTATAATCTTGCCTGGTTTTTTTTTTTTTTTTTTTTTTTAATTTCTTTCCTTCTTTCTTTTCCATTTTTGTCTGGCAATGGTCAACCTGTCTTGCCCCTGTTCAGTCTCAGCCAGCTGTTCTTACTCAGGCAGGTAGAACACTGGGACCTGCACATGTTCTGAAGGATAGATCCATGTTTGATCTAAACTGGGCAGGTGCCCAAATTCATTATACGACCTGGAGGTGAAGCTTTCAGATATGGGGATGTTCAGCAGGGATAGTGTGTGAAACATCACCTAGCTTTTTGTCACTACCCCTTGACTGCATTCCTCCCAGGTAGACCCATTATTTTACTGTCGCTAGTTTTTACCCTGTGTATTATTTACACAGTGTTGCCATGGATGTCTTCTTCCCATCTGTCAGCATTAGGAGGTGACCTGCCAGAACCACTGATGCAGATCTCGGTGACAGCTGATGGCTGCAGAAGCTAAAGGAGCTTGAAAGTGGCTCTTGGCCAATTTCCACAGAAGTTTATACGTTCAGAGATCAGATTGCTCAGTGGGCAGTTCTTCCTAACTGCTCTATTTCTCATGGATTTCTTTATTTTTAAGCTATCAACTTGAGAAGGAAGGAGTGGTTCTCTGAATGAAATGTTTAGACCTTTGTTTAGGAGAGGTATTATTTGGTCATGATTCTTTTATACAAAGTCATTTCTGGCTAAGTTTCCATGACAACACAAAGTATTATTATAGGATGAATAAGCTGAATAAAAGGAATTAAATAAGATTGTTCTGTAATGAAACGCTTGAAGTCCTCCAGGTGACCTTTTCTGTGAAGCAGAAGTTTCTGGTATTGGGACCTTTAGCTTGCATATTAGTTCCTTATGACATAATTTGACATCTGCATATTCATACATGAAAAATGTCTTACGTACAACCTGGTTGTAGGCATAAGACATGATTTTTCACCTGGATTTGGTCTTAATTTTTATTGCTGTGAAATTTTGCAGACACAGTGTTTTCATAAGGGATGCTTGCATTTCTTTTGGGGAAACCAAGATGCGTTTTAGAACAGCGAAATAGTTCAACAGTGTAGCAGAAAGTGCATATGCTGTTTGGAAAAAATTATGTATGTACAGTTTTGAATACGGGCATTTTTTTTAAACCATACATGATGTTTATGTATTTAACAAGGCTAATACAACAAAATGCATTATCAAACAGAAGTAGATAGCATTATGAGGAAAAATTTATAGTATCTTCCTCACTTATTTCATTTCCACAGTAATCCTGATCACAATTTGTGGCTGCTGTGGCTCTGGAGTAATGCACAGGCAAGTCACTGATGATTGTGCCAATCACAACTTAATAATTTCAAACACAGAAGCTCCCGGAGAAGAAGTGATGGTAAGTTGTCCATTTACAATGTAGAAACATGTAATAAGATATCCATATCATTTCAGTTTGAGAACAGGACCACCTGCAAGTAAGTGATTTAGTAAAGGAAATAAACAATAAATGCAGGGAACATTGGATGCACGTTGCTACTTAACATTCTTTAAAATTCTTACTTTAGGCAGAGTTGCTAGTACCATACATATGTAAACATATCCTGTGGTTTGCCTGGCTGCTTATAATTCTTCCAGACTTTAACTGTTCAGTTGGAACTTTCAGGTGAACATTATAATCACCTCAGTAATTTTCAACAATGAGATTAGGTAGAAATTTACTATTTTGCCTATGTTGAATGTATGTTTATGGCAAAACATTATTGTGTTTCCTTGGAGAATGATTTTTAAATGTAGTGGATAGTCATTGTAGATCACAGGTGCAATTTCTGCCTTTCCCCTCAAAAATGACTCCCAAATACAGTTGATTTTTGAGCCGGTGGAAAAAATGAAACAGTCCACGTTCATTAAATGTTTTCTTGCTCTTGGCATCTAAATCTCTTAAAGATTCAGTCTACTGTGAACATATTCTAGTCCAGGCCTGTGTTCACAGACAAGGACTTGGCTCTTCATACTCTTCCCCTTCTCCTCTGTCTCTCATTCCCTGGTCATGCCCTCCTCAAGAAAAGGAGATTACTTTAAAACCAAGAAATCCTAAGAGTGACAACTGTCAAATGTCTCATTGTCTATGAAGCATAATGTAGTGCCATTGTAAACTGACAATGTAGTTTTAATTTGTGATTGCATTTTAGTTTTTCCATATTTCATTCATTATACAGACTTTTGTGTGAAGAAATAGAAGGAAACTAATGCATATGACCGTATATCATATCATATCATATTCATATATCATATTTAAATGCAGATTATCCCTCTGGCATCCTTTCCACAGACCACTTATTGATCTTTATATACGAAGTACTAAGGATAGCTTTTTATTCAAAATATCACATAGCAAAGCTAGAGAATTCAATTTTCAGCATTGACAGTTCCTTATTGCTGTTTCATCTTTTGAATTAAAAAAAAAAAAAAGGAAAAAAAAAAAAAAGGAAAAAAAAAAAAAAGGAAAAAAAAAAAAAAGGAAAAAAAAAAAAAAGGAAAAAAAAAAAAAAGGAAAAAAAAAAAAAAGGAAAAAAAAAAAAAAGGAAAAAAAAAAAAAAGGAAAAAAAAAAAAAAGGAAAAAAAAAAAAAAGGAAAAAAAAAAAAAAGGAAAAAAAAAAAAAAGGAAAAAAAAAAAAAAGGAAAAAAAAAAAAAAGGAAAAAAAAAAAAAAGGAAAAAAAAAAAAAAGGAAAAAAAAAAAAGTACAGCTGTCCCCACTGCTGCATCTTTTTTTAGGATCACAATATAATTCCTCTACAAAACACATGTGATCAAGGAGGATACGGAATTAAAACAGGAGATCAGCAAACATTTGAAATGGTAAAAGGAAGAGGGCATACCTTGGAATCAGTCAAGGGAGGTGGACATCAGACTCTGGGATCAGTGAAAGAAGGAGGAGGAGGAGGAGGAGGACAGCCTATGATGGATACTTGTAGATATTCCTACTCAGAGTGGCATAATTTCACACATCCTCGTTTAGGTGAAGTAAGTATTCTGAAACTGTTGTTTTTGTTGGTGTTTTTTTTTGGGGGGGTGGGGGCGGGGAGTAGGTGATGATCAGTATATGCAGACTTTTCAAGGAAGACGTGTGTGTGCTAGAAAGGTGGCTTTCTGGTTTTGGTTTGGTTTCATTTTTCCTCTCCTGTCTCCCCTTTGGAATATTGCCATTTCAAACAGTCATCTTTTGCCTATTTTAGACATAAGTGTAAATTACTTTCCTTTCTTGGCTTAAACTATAGGCAGTGTGCTATTTTCCATTTAGAATATGTCCTCATTTAGAATAATTACTCGAGCTTTTGTGAGCTTTTCTGACAATGTCTGTTTGCTTTTATTCTAACAGCTTGCTTTGTACTAATTTAAATCTGATACTTAGCAATGGTGCATGAATGAATGAATGTACAACATTAGAAATTTAGTTATTCCATGCTTTGGAGATCAAAAAGTCTCACTACTTGCCTAACTAGTTATGTGTAAATCAGTCTTTTAATTTCAAGTGGAATTTAGTTGCTTGACAGGTTATTTAAACAGGTTCTTCCTCTTTTATTGTTACATACATGATTAGTAGAAATTATTTCTTTATTAAATACTTATATTTTGTAGTCTTAATGATATAGACCAATCATGTGCATTTTTTGTATGTAGGAATCCATTAGAGGACACACTCTGATTAAAAATTAATCAATGAAAGGTAAATCAAAAGAAATTATTTTTTGCAATATGTTTAGGATAACAATTTAAGAAAGTAATAAGGTGTGTTTTCTTCCTATGCAGAAGGTGCACCTATGCAGACAGGATGAAGAACAGAAGCATTCTGAAGATTATCTCCTTTCATATAACTATGAAGGAAAAGGATCCTTGGCTGGCTCTGTAGGCTGCTGCAGTGATCAGCATGAAGAAGAGGCACTTGACTTCTTAGATCAGCTGGAACCCAAGTTTAGGACACTAGCAGAAACATGCATAAAAAGATAAATGTGCCTTTCACAGTGCTGAAAAAAACTGTAAATAAGTGGCTGTCATACTTTCGTGATATTAGGCATCTTGGAATTGAAAGGGGGAGAGGTTTATTAAAATTAATATAGACTGGTGAGAGTGTAACTAACTCTTACTTTAAATTTACAACATTTTTTTTATCTCTGCTAGACACATTCCATCAAAAACAAGGGATTAAAAATATTTTTCTTTAGACTATGTTAATATAGTAGTGATAGTTTCTACTTAGACTACATTTCCTATTCTTTATGATTACTTAAAACGTAAAACTTGGTGTTGTCTTTTTAATTAATTATTCAGCTTCAAAATTTTACTGCATTTGGCTTTGGAGAAGGAAAGCTTTTTAACTCACTGTTCCTTTGTTTTCTGTTAATTCTGTAGAAATAAACCAAAAAACATTACTGGTGGATATGAAATAACTTTGCTAATCTTTAACTTATACAAACTGAGATACAAAACACTTTTTCCTTTTTCACATTAAAAATGCTATGAATAAATTAGAAAATTTTATATTTTGATTGAAATTTAAATATATATATTGTATATATGTAAAATAATATTAAAAATATATTTTTCTCCTAATGGGTTACTACCCATCAAACTTGCTATCCTAAGGGATTTATGGCATCACCACATAGGGTATAAGCATTGTATGCGAGCATGTATTTTTCTTTTAAGGAAAGAAAAGATTTAAAAAAAAAAAATCAGGAACATAGGGGTAACTATCATACTTCAAATGAATGCAAGACAAATCTCATGTTTACTTGACATAAGTTTGTACCTCAGTTTCTTGTGAGTTTTAACATAATATCATTGTAGAAATTATGAACGTTGCCAAGAGTTTTGTCCAGTGTAAACTACCACTACTTTTTTTTTTTTTTAACTTGCCTTATTATGGACTTCATTAAACTGTTTCTTTCTGTAAGTAGAACTTGACAGAAGGTACAGCTCAAATAGATTGGACATACACTGCATTAATAATGTATTTTAAAGAAAGCTTTATTTGAGATGCAAAATTATATTGGGATAAATTGTCTGTTTTGAGTGTATTATGTAGTGGTTGTAGAGGTAAGCGTTTACACAGATCTCTGGCAGAAATCATCTGAATCCCATTTGTTATTTTACTAGATTAAGCATACATATACACTATATATATATACAAAAGTCTGAAATACCTTTGGCAGATGACAGTAGTGAGAGCTGAATGCTGTCATAAGCTATTTCTGGAATTCAACCTCTGCTTCCCAGGTTTTCTGTGTTTTAATATTTGCACTCCTGGTTAAGTAATCTGTCTTCTGCACTCTGGGAATTCTTTTGTGCCTTGAAAGAATGTCTTCCTGCATATGAGAAAGGGAAACTTGTACAATTGCTTATTTTGTTGCTATAATTCTGCTTTTAGGATTTGCTCTGTAAACATATGCCTTAAGGAGATATTTTTTAAAATTTGCTATAACTAATGATCTGTAAAAGGAATTATTAGTAACAACAAAGATGGATGCTGCTCTAAATTTCAGTGCAGAGCTGCTGCTGACTTCCGGTGGTTCACTCCACCCAGAATATGGTCAGTGAAAATCTGTAACAGTATAAAAACTTATCAAAGTTATAAAATAGTACTTTTAAAACCTTCCGTTTCACACTGGAAACGGGCTTCAGAATATTTCTGATAAAAACTAGCTGTGGTTAATAACTTCATAGGCCAATGTTAAAATGTATTTTATTCTATTGTTTGAAAGTGGGGATGAATTCGTCCTGAACGAGTCTCCAGCAGCAATATACTAGATGGGAACCAAAGTGTTACGAACTGACTTTATTTAAGAAATGCAAGCTAACACTACAGTTCTGAACGCTACTCTTCTTTGTCACTAACATACATGAGTTTTGCTGTAAATGGATAGGCAGACCTGTGGCTGATGTAAGTCAGGATAGTTCTGCTGGTGCCAGTGGAGATATGCTGACTTTATGCCAGGTGAAGATCTGTCCCCTAATGATTTACTTGCTTCTTTGTGTCTTGCATCTTTATCTGTGGTTATTGGCTATACACTTTTTAAGGTAATGTTAATGTCTCCCCCCCCCATCCTCTTTTAATGTTTGGTGGTTTGTTTGTTGGGTTTTTTTTAAATTATATAAAAATTCTATAGTTCAGAAGGACCTAGGATAAATAACAGAATGCACTCTTTTGAAAATTACTTGGGGCATGTCATAGAGAAACCTCTGGAAATAGGGTTTCTTTCCTCATGAAATATATTAGTACAGTTCTAAAAGAATAGACCAAATTTGGATGAGCTTTAGTTGAATTGGTGTTGGCTATTTTAAGTAGATGGTTGACAACTTTCCACTCTGGAGTTAAAATTATAAATTACTGAAATCAAAATAATGTTTCCTGGTCTAATTTACCTTAACAATGTTTTATTATTTTTTTTTGTTTTGTTTTACATTTCAAAAAGCACAGATAATTAGTTAGTTGCATTTTTTGTCTGTTTTCAAACAAAGCCCAAATTTGGAATCACTTGTTTGTCTCTTAAAAATTAAAGTTCTGAACTGAACCAGCTATTCCTGTAAAACCAAGAGTAGAAAGGTATTTGAGATGCTTTAAGAAATGAACTGTAAAACATTATTTTCATTGTATCATCATGTGAATGAAAACTTTTTATAAAGCATTAAGGTTTACAGATACTAAGTACCAAATAACATTTGTATAAAGCTTACAAATGGAATATTTCAAAATATATAATTCACTTGTTGTTACTTTCTTGAATCCCCTTAAAAATTGTGAAGATTTGTTCTCTTCAACTTGGTAATTTGCAACCTACCTAGCTATGTCAACATTATCTTAACATCATGTTTAGGAATATTTTGTACAACAGTGAGTAATAAATTTTTTTCAAAATAAAAGGAACTTCTACAAAAACTGTTCATTTCTTGTGCATGGACTACTTTATGAAGATAAACATGTCTATTTCTGAAGGGAATTAGATTTTTAAATTTTAATTGAATGTTTTTGTGATGTTAGACTGCTGTAACACTAGTAGTACTTGTCCTTGCAGCATGAGCAGTGTGAACTCTAGCTGTAGTTTTATAGCACAAGCTGGCCAGCTGTCTATGGGGCTTCCTTAGTGCTTCTAAAATGACCACAGAATGCTTGATGAATTTAAGATCTTAAAAGTACAAAACATTGCTCTTTCATCTCACTGATAAATTGCAAAAATACATAGCGCCTCTTAAAGAAAACTCATGGCAGCAGATAACCCAAACTTTCACATGTTTGGCAGTCATAAAGCTGCAGGATATTAGTATTGTAGAGACTGTATGTTCCCTATGATACCGTGATCGAGGGACCAGTGGAGTATCAGTTTTGGTTATCTGGCTTCAAGGGAAGAGGTAAATTCACAGAATGGCTTAAGTTGGAAGGGACATCTGGAGATCATCTGGTTCAAAGTACCTCCTCAAGAAGGACAACCTACAGCTGTTTGTCCAGGACCAGATGGCTTTTGGGTATCTCCAAGGATGGATGCTCTACAACCTCTCTGGGAAACCTGTTCGGGTGCTCAGTCTCCTTCACAGTAAAAACGTGTTTCATGTTCTTCAGGTGATGTCTTCTCTGTTTCAGTTTGCATCCATTGCCTTTTATCCTGTCACTGGGCACCACTGGAAAAATCCTGGCTCTGTCCTCTTTGCATCCTCCCTTCAGGTATTTGTATACATTAATAAGAATTTCCATGAACCTTCACTTCTTTAGGCTAAACAGTCCTATGTGCCTCATCCGTTCCTCATAGGAAAGCTGCTCTTTTGCGGCAAAGGCATGTTGCCAGCTCACGTTGAACCTGGTGTCTTCCAGGACTCCTAGGTCCTTTTCTGCCAAGCTGTTTTCCAGCTGGGTGGCCCCCAGCATATATTGATGCACAGGGTTGTCCTTCCCCAAGGTGCAGGACTTTGCACTCCTCCTTTTTGAGCTTCATGAGGTTCCTGTTGTCCAGTTTCTCCAGCTTGTCAAGGTCCTTCTGGATGGCAGCATGACTCTCTGTCATATCAGAGAGTACTAGTACTAAATCAGCTACTTATCCTGGTTTGATGTCATCAGCAGACTTGCTGAGGGTATATTCTGCCCCATCATCCAGATCACTAACAAAGGTTGTAAACAGGACTGGAGCCAGTATCGATGCCTGAGGTACACTGCTAGTCACTGGCCTCCAACCAGACTTTGTGCTGCTGATCACCACCCTCTGGACCTGCCCTTTCTGCCAGTTTTTGATCCACCTCACTGTTTGCTCATCCAACCTGTACATCAACAGCTTGTTTATAACAATCTTATGGAAGACAGTATGAAAGGCCTTTCTGAAGTCCAGGTAGACAATATCCACTGCTGTGCCCTCTCCTACCGAGCCAGTTATTTCATTATAGAAGTTTATCAAGTTGGTTAAGCATGACTTCCTGTTGATGAAGCCATGCTTGACTTGACTACTCCTGATGATTTTCTTGTTCATGTACCTGAAAAAAGCTTTCCAGGATTAGCTGATCCATTACCTTCCCAGGGACTGAGGTGAGGCTGACTGGTCTGTAGATCCCTGGGTCCTCCTTCTTGCCCTTTTTGAAGATAGGAGTGACATTTGCTTTCTTCTAGTCCTTGGGCATTTCTATCAGTTGCCATGATCAATCGAAGATTGTTGGGAGCGGCTTTGCAGTGACATCTGCCAGCTCCCTCAGCACTTGTGGTGCATCCCATCAGGGCCCATGGACTTACGTATGTCTGGTTTGCTTGAGTATTCCCTGACCTGATCCTCATCCACCAAGGGTACATCTTCCTTACTCCAGCCTTTCCCCCTGGTCTCTGGGACCTGGGATTCTTGAAGGCTGTCTCTTGCTAGTAAAGACTGAAGTGAAGGTGGTGTTCAGTACTATAGCCTTTTCCATGTCTCCATCCATTGAGCAATGGGTCCACATTTTCCCTAGTCTTCTTTTTGTCAATTATGTATTTATAGAAACCCTTCTTGTCTTGGACATCCCCCCTGACCTGATCCTCATCCACCAAGGGTACATCTTCCTTACTCCAGCCTTTCCCCCTGGTCTCTGGGACCTGGGATTCTTGAAGGCTGTCTCTTGCTAGTAAAGACTGAAGTGAAGGTGGTGTTCAGTACTATAGCCTTTTCCATGTCTCCATCCATTGAGCAATGGGTCCACATTTTCCCTAGTCTTCTTTTTGTCAATTATGTATTTATAGAAACCCTTCTTGTCTTGGACATCCCTGACCAGATTCAATTCCATTTGGGCTTTAGCTTTCCTAACTGCATCCTTGGATGCCCAGACAGTTTTCCTGTATTCCTCCCACATTACCTGTCCTGGTTTCCACCTTCTGTATACTTTTTGTGTTTGACTTTTTTCCCCAGGACCTCCTTGTTCTTCCATGCAGGCCTCATGGCATTTTTCCCTGACTTCATATTCATTGGAATTAAACTCTTTTGAGCTTGAAGGAAGGGATCTTTGAATATTATCCAGCTTTCTAGGACCCTCTTCCCTTCAGGTCCTTATCCCACGGGACACGACCAAGCAGATATTTAAGAGGCTAAGTCTGCTATCCTGAAATCCAGCACTATGATGTTGCTTTTTGCCCTCTCCATCCACTCAGGATCCTGAGCCCAATGTTTTATGATCACTGCACTCAAGGCTGTCTTTGACCTTCACATGCCTGATAAATCCCTCCTTGTTGACGAGTATGAAGTCCAGCAGAGCAGATACCTCCTGGATTGTTTATGTCCTCTGTTACCCCTCTAGCAGATATCAGGGTGGTCAAAGTGCCCCATGGGGACCAGGGCCTGTAAACAGGAGGCTGCTTCCAGCTGTTCATAGGAAGTCTCATCCACTTACTCTTCCCAGTCAGTGGGTCCATAGCAGACACTCACTACCTCGTCACCCGTATTGGTCTGCTCTTTTATCTTTACCCATAAGCACTCCATTGGCAAGCAGCAAAGTTCTCTAGACAACAGGTCAGGTTGGCAGATCAGTATGTCTGTCCCTTGCAGCAGGAAGTATGTTCCCAGGGTGCAGGTAAAGCGACAAAGCATTCTTTTATCAGAAGATCACTACACAAGGTGCTGTTCCTGTTCTTTTAATCACACTCGGTGCAAGATTTTTAGATCAAGAGAACTGTGTTATTAGAACAGAAATGCACCTGAGATGAGAAGAGCACTGAATTTGTCCAATAAACTTACTTATACTGAAAATGACTACGGTCATTGTTTGCCACGGTTTTTGTTTTGGCCTTACCACATTAGTAGATTTATCTTTCTTAGAGGGTAGTGTGTGTTTTCCCATGGAGTATTGTTGATTTCCACACAAATATTCATTCATTATTACCGTTCAGTATATATCCACTTCAGGTGGAACAATACAAATATCCATTCAAATCTCTAATGTCTTCAGATAAATCTTTGACATTAAAAAAAAAGGTTATGTATAAAAATCAGATTTGCTAGATTAAAAGTTGCCCAGGTAATACTGACGATCAGCAGACTTAACCAAAGAGGGCTACAGAAGCGATGCATCATTTTGCATGGTTTTCAAACATCCAGAGTCTTGTTTTGGCTGGAGCTCATTGAAAACTCTGTATGCAATGCTTTCCATCAGCAAGTACCTTGAAGAAATCTGCAACCCCAAAGTACTATTTCTGAAGTGAAGTTATAGTTATCAGTGCTTTAGACAATGGAGTTTTGGGTTGTGATTAATTTAATCTGAAGGTTAAGGTCTCTATTTGGTCAAATGAATCTCACCTGTGTATCTAATTTCAGTTACGAGGCCCATGGTTACAGTGACAACTGAAAGGAAAGCCTTGGTTAACCTCAAAGATTCTTAGATGAAACATGCTTCATAAAGGTCATCCTTTATATATGAGCCAACAGAGACTAACAAGTTATCTGCAAAGTGTAAATCAGACTCATGATTCGCTCAAGTGTGACAATCATGACCATGTTTTTCCGAAGCATACCAATACACATATACCTGACAGTAGAGTAATCCCTGGTAAACAACCAAGCTTTTATTAGAAAAGCTAGAGGCATCAGAACTTTTTTTTTTTTTTTTTTTTTTTTTTCACTTTCTAAGAAAGCATTATATTTTTGAGCTAAAGGTAAATATGCTGTCAAGAGGAAAATCAGCCTCCACCTGATGCCCAACAGCTTAGATTTTCAATGCAAAATATCTTCATCTGTTGAAATCATTATGAGTGACTGAAAGTAGTCTTGGGCAAACAAGAAAGAGTTGTGCAACTCTAAATACAGGTAGCTTTGCTGGGTCAACCTATAATTAAACCATCCCATAACTACAACCAAACCACTACAGGCTTATCACATAAATGTTTAAACAGATCAAATAGGCCTGTAAAGACCCATGTCTTTCTTCCCGCTTTAAGGAGGCTATAATTTGACTAGATCAAAGAGTATATGATGAGGCTTTATGCTCCACCTGTGCTCTAGAACACAAAAGCAGTTGGCATCTTTTCCTTGCCACCTTAACACATGGTTTTAAGATCACCTTATGACTTGGGTTTTGTTTTGTACACAGCTCTCAAGCTGTCACTACATCAGTAACAAAAATAAAGGGAAGAAGTTAAACATATAACACTAACATAAAGCAAATACAGGAAGCCTTTAGATAATAATCAAGTGATATGTGATTTTCTCACACCACTGCTGAATTCTATAGTAACACAGGAGAGCCCTTGCTGTTGTATTTACAGAAAGTAAAATTTTAGTTGCTTCCTTGCAATCTGAATTAACCAGATGACAGCTAGAAATCCAATTATAGAACCATAGATGGTTAGAGTTGGTAGGGACCTTAAAGATCACCCAGTTCCAACCCCCCACTGCCATGGGAAGGGACACCTTCTGCTAGACCTGGTTACTCAAAGCCCCATCCAAC